ACCAGCGTAGTTCCATTTCCTATAACTATATATATTATAAAACTCAATAATAGAATGATATAATTGTCACTTTCAGCAGTAAAAGAGGAGAAAAAACTGTGCACACACACAGACCCAGAGAGAACAGTGCATAGTGACTGAAAGGCGTGCCGTCCTCCACTCCCTGCCTTATTTCCTGTGAGGAACACTTTTGTGTTATTTTCTTTCAGCTTGAGGATTCCTTGAGTGATTCGTCCACAGGAGATCAGTTTGCAACAAATGCAGTTTTTATTGGGGGAATGCTTTGATTCTGCCTTCAAGTTTTGAAAGTTTAGCTGGAGATAGAATTGTACTTGACAGGTTTCTTTTTTTCTTTCAACACTGTGAATTGGTGATTACCCTACCTTAGGGTCTTCGTTAGTTTGAATGCAAAGTCGATTAATGCTGTTACCTCTACCTGATGAGTCATTTTCCCCATGTTGCTTTTTAAGATTTTTCTCTTTGTCTTTATCTTTCAGCAGTTTGCTTAGGATGTGCCTAAGTATGGTCAGTTTATGCTGCTCATACTTAGGGTTGGTTGAACTCTTCAGAACGTAATTTAATGCTTTTCATGAATTTGGGAAGGTTTTAGCCATTACTTAAAAATATATATTTAAATATTATTAAATATATTATCTATCTATACATATATTTTTTCTTTTTTCTGCCCCTATGTCTGTTCTTCTGTTTGGAGTTTTATTGCTCTTTCTTTAAGTTAACTGGTTTCTTCTGCCATCTTGAACCTGCTGTTGGGCCTAGCTTGTCACTGCTTTCATTTCAGTTATTTCACTTTTCAACTTTACCCATTTTTTGTTGTTATTGTTGTTTTGAGATACAGTCTCACTATGTCACCCTCAGTAGAGTGCTGTGGCATCACAGCTCACAGCAACCTCCAACTCTTGGGCTTAAGTGATCCTCTTGCCTCAGCCTCCCAAGTAGCTGGGACTACAGTTGCCCACCACAACACCCAGCTATTTTGTAGCTGCCGTTGTTGTTTTTATTACAGTTGTCATTGTTGTTTAGCAGGCCTGTGCCAGGTTCAAATCCGCCACCCTCGGTGCATGTGGCTAGCGCCATAACCACTATGCTACGGGCACCAAGCCACCCATTTGGTTTTTTATTGTCGTGTTTGTTTCTCTGTTGGGTTTCCCTATCTACTGACTCATTGTTAGCACGTTTTCTTTTAATTCCTTGAACATAGTTTTCCTTAATTCTTTGGATATATTTGTAATGGCTCATTTGAAGCATTTCTAACTTGTAGATTTAAACAAATATATCATCTCACAGTTTCTATAGGTCAGAAGTCTGGGGGTTTCTCAGCTACATTCTCTGCTCAGGGTTTCACAGGCTGCTGTCTGGTTGTCAGCCAGGGCTGTGGTCTCCCCTGAGACTCAGGGTCCTATTCCATACTCACTGGTGTTGGCAGAAGTCAGTTCCTTGGGGTCATAGGACTGAGGACCTCAGCTCCAAATGACCACTCCAGTTCCCTCCATGTGACCCTCTCCGTAGCTCCTTTGAGGCCAGCAGGAGAGTGCTACTGATTCTTACCTGTTTTAAGGGGTAAGGCCCACTTTGTTAGGCCCGCCTAGGAGGATTTCTGTTAACTGAGAAGTCAACTCATTAGAGACCTTAATATACCCACCTAGTTCCTTCCCTGGAGAACTATCCTGTTGTATGTACAGATCCTGTCCATGGGGTGGGCGGGGGAACACACTGACTGTGCTGGGGGTGCACAGCATGGGGTCATCGTAGACCGCTGCCTACCATGGCCCACCCTCTTCCCCCCACCCCAATTCACATCCACATACATTTGGAAGTTGTTCCTCATGCAACATATGTTTACTCCTTCCAAGGATCCCAGGAGTCCCAGTTCTTGCAGCACGATCTCAGGGTCCAATCATCTAAATCTAAACCTCATCAGCTGAAAGTTCAAAAGTCAGGCCCAGCTGTAGCCACTGGGACACAATTTCTTTCCATGTGTGGACCTGGGAAACTAGGACAAGTTATCGGCCCCAACATCCCAACTTTCAGTGGCAGGACAGGCATAGGATAACAGTGGGAGGCATTCTGGCTCAAAAAGTGGGG